TCAAACAGCTTGCCTAGGATTTTCCTTCATTTTCCCCTTGTATTGGAACCCAATATTTTCCTTTATTCAGGTAATACTGAAGATGAAGTCAAGGGATGTAACCTAAAGCAAGGACTAACTTAGGCCCCTTCTATTTTATCATTTAATACTCAGCCTTTAAATTATTCAGCGCATATAGGAAAGTAGGTCAAGTACTATCATACATAGTGAGGATGCACTTTCACAGTGAACCATTAGGTGGAACAAATGAACTTTTGAAAGCAATCCAATCTGGCCACATTCCCCTGTACTGAGAAAGCATGTCCATTTTATAGGTTGTGCAGGAAGAGCAGCCATACATGCATATACAACTTAAGCTTTTATAACACTCAAGATCTGAATGTGGATAAATATAACCATGTCCAAGGAAAAAAAAAAAAAACTAGGAAAAGTATTTGTAGTCCATACGCAAATTCACCTGGATTGCCTGTTAACAAGAGAAGTGCAACTCCATATCAGTAACCTGCGAAGCCAAAAGGTCAACTCAGGACGTGCCAATCTGGTCATCCAATGAAGCTGAACAAGACTGCTGCAGTGTAATACACACACACACAAGCACATACATCAGGGCACTGAGGGCCCTGCTACACCTTCAAATTATTTCTGGATAGAAACCAGCTATTGAGTTGCTAGACATTTTCAAGCGCTAGCTTTGCAGCTGGTCAGCTATTTTTATAATGGGACAGTCATTTTTCTGCTGTGAGAATTATTTTGCCCGTGTCTGGTATAAATTTACGGCACAACTCACCAGCTTATTGTGCAACAAATGTAACGTGGTGCAGGGGCCTAAGAGCAATGTATCAACACAAGATCTTCTGAAGGCCGATTTGAACATTTTGAAAGGAGAAATAATTAAGAAACTAAACAGTTGCATGACAGGAGCATTCAATTAAAAAAGAAAATGGGCCCCTTTTTTTTTTTTTTTTGATCAAGGGCCAGATCTTGAGGGTGCTTGGTCTTGAAAGGGATTGTTGTAATCACTTGATTTTTTAGTTTTGCTTCATTGACCAGAAGGCCAGTTAAAAGCATTCAGTTGAGGTTTCAGTGACATTAGTTGTAGACTCAGGAATTCAAAAATTCAGGGATTCAAGAAATTAAAGAAGTCAAGAAACCACTTAATAGGGTGGGCCATGACAAGGCTGTCACTATCCACCCTGTTTCACTCCTGTGGAACTGGATGCTGGCCTACCATCCACAAAGGGCAAAGCTGCTAGGAAAGATGGTATTCCACCAAAATTCCTCCACCATCTTGACCCACTGGCAAAACAATGGCTTCTGGCTCTCTTTTCAACTGTGATGGAAAACGGCCATACTTCATAAATCCGGCACGAGGCAATGATGATAGCCCTGCCAAAACTAGGAAAGCTGGTACATGACCCTGGGAGCTACAGGCCCATCTCTTTGCTCTGCACAACCTGTAAGTTCCTGGAGCATCTCATCCTTCTAAGAATCAGCCCCATCATCAACCTATTTCTCCAAAAACAGGCAGTCTGGCTTTAGACTCCACTGTAGCTGCTGTGAACAAGTCCTTGCCATCATTACAAACATTGAGGCTGGTTTTTGCCACAAGCTGAAGACCAGGGCCACCTTCACAAATCTTTCCTCAGTTTACGATACTGTGTGGGAACACGGAATGATGCTCAACTGTCCCTGCTACTACCATGTACCAAATTACTTCAGCTGCTGTGGACTTTGATAAGCAACAGAAGGATGAAGATCTACCTATAAGGTCAGCACTCCAAGAATATTCAACAACAGCCTCCCACAGGAAAGTGTTCTGGCACCGATAGTTTGTAACATCTACATAAGTGATATGCCCTACACATCATTGCAGAAATGTATCTACACCGACTATATCGCTTTGACCACACAAGCAAAACCTTTTCAGGATACTGAAGCTACACTGAACTCTGATTTATCAATAATGGCCGAATACTTCCATAAGTGCAAATTACAACCAAATCCAACCAAGTCCATTGTCTCCACATTCCTTCTTGACAATCACAAGGCACATAACACCCTCAACATCACCTTTTGTAGCAAAAAAGTGCATCACAACCTGACTCCTACCTACCTTGGAGTGGCCCTTGACTGCTCCCTAACCTACCAATATCACCTCTGAAAGACTGCCATGAAAACAAAGGCACAAGCTGGGGCGCAAAAGCCACCACCCTCTGCACTTCTGCCAAAGCCCCGGTCTTCTAAATAGCTAAGTACTGTGCACCCATTTGGGCCTCAAGCGGACATACTAAACTCATCGACACACAACTCTACTCAGTAATGAGGACCATCTCTGGAATTTTGATATCAACTCCAGTGCAGTGGCTATCAGTACTTTCAAACATTACTCCTCCCTCTATTCAATGGGATGCATCAATATACAGGGAAATAATGTGCATTAATAGTAATCTGGACCTTCCCATCCACAGAGACCTTCAAGATCCCCTAACTTGTCACATGATTTCACGAAAACCCTTTTGGACACTAACCGAGCACCTCCTATATCACAACACTGAAGAATCTTGGAGGAAAGCTTGGGCAAAAAACACTTTCCTAAACAAACACCTCATTTCCGACCCAACAACGTGACAACCAGGCTTCAACCTTCCATAGAGCACGCAGACAACCCTTAATAGGATATGCACTAAACTTGGCCGGTGTGGCCACCTGACGTAGAAGCAGCACCTAAAAACCTCCCCTGGCTGCACCTGGAAACCCTGACCAAACCATGGAGCACATAATAACATCCTGCCCCAGATACAAGTTTGAGGAAGACACCTTGGAGTTACACTTACTTTCCAGCAGGGCATTGGTCTGGTTGGGGAATGTGGAATTAAAATGGTGATGATAGCTCTTGCTCCTAAAGCCATATGAAAGAAGGGCCAAATCAGTTCCAAATTCTATTGGATAAAACCCAAGAGTCAAGTTCCAAGTTTCAACTGAGCAAAGCTCAATTATTTAAGTCCATGTGGCTCTACCACTGGGCAAGTATCCTCCTTCCCAGCCTCATATCACCCACCTTGGGCTTCAGATACTCCCCAAATCTGTAGCCAACATGGTATGTGCCAACCCAGGGACCCTGGGGTTCAGATGCATCCTAGTTTTGCTTGCTCTTAGCCAAAAGGTCAAGGAGCAAGCCAGGGGAAAGCAAAAAAGCAGTTCCCCTTTACCACAAGATTGTGCAGTCGAGTCTCCTGCATTTAGGGAAACTTGCAGGGGTGTTTCCTTGGAGTGCAACAAAGGACAGGCCTCAAAAAACCATTTGCTAGCCCACAAGAGGCCTAGTGATTGTGATATTTCTCCTGTTAGGTGGGAATTTTTTTAAAAATTATTTTTTATTTCATTTGCATCCAAGGCCAAATCAGTCAAAACCAATTTGAAATCCAAGAGTCCAAAACCGTAAGTGGCCCTAGTACCAGCAAATATCCTCCATCTCCATCTGGAGCTTCAGACATTTCCAAACCCTCTGGTGGGCATCCTACTTGCAGGCCCAAGCCCAGAGGCTTGGCGTTCAGATGCCCCTAAGTTTCACTTGCTCTCAGCCCCTCGGAGCAAACAAGGGAGGAAACTCCCATTTCCATAAAGCAGGATTAAAGCCGCTGCAGCTCGGCAGGGACTGGACCACGCCAGAAAGCAGTTCTCCAGGGGCGTGGTTCAGGAAAGCTGCCTTCTTGAGCAGAGCTACACGGTGTTTCCCCTTTCAGGTTAAGAAGCCGCTAGGTTTGTCTTGAGCCTTCATGGACAACACGTGCTCTTAGCCTATAAAAAGCCAAGAGTACACTTGATCCTAGCCAAAATGAGCCACTTTTATCTGAACGCGTTAAAGCAAAACAACCCGCGGGGAGCAGGGGGGCGGGCGAGTTGGGTTGCCCTGGTCTCAGCTACAAGCAGCGGGCGCGTAGGCCAGGACAGGCCTATGGAGAGACCCAAACCCAACTCCCACCGACAGGACAAGGGCGAGAGCTGCGCAGGGCCCTCGGGACGCACGCAGGGCAGCAGGGCCACCGGGATAAGCAAGGACAACGCCTTGCCCTCCAGCTGCGGAGGCGGCACAGAAACCTCGCCCTGCCTCCACAACCCCGCAGACAGCCCCGCCCTCACAGGAACTAGCTTAACGACGCTCAGAGCGCCGTGACGTCAGCACCACCTTCCGCCTCCCGCCACGTAAGCTAGGAAAAGCCTAGGCCCTGGCGGAAGAAGCGGAAATGCACTTTTCCCGCCCCTCCCCCTGCCCACTTTACACCCAGCCCCGCCCCCGGCCCAGCTTCGCACGCTACTCACTTCCGGCCGTCGCTCTTCCGGTCTGTGGAGCGCGCGTGCAGCCGAGCCCGCGGCGGGTTGGCACGTGGCTGCACCATGCTGGTGCTGTTCGAGACCGCGGCTGGCTACGCTATCTTCAAGGTCAGCGGCGGGCGGGCCGGAGGATTGGGGCGGG